GATAGTATTTCACTTTTATGCTGAATTGATTTCGAATTTTGATGGACAGGAGCATGAACCATGGTGCAAAAGGTATATGGAGCTATATAATGAGATGAGAGAAAACTGGGAGAGGCTGTATTGGGATGAAGGTTACTCCAAGAAACTTGCTCAAGATCATGCAAACTATGATTCTGCTGAAGATGATGAAGAAGACTTTTCTCCTTATAGGTCGGCCTACTTATTATCCCTCCCCGCTTGTCTCTTTTATGATTTGTGAACTAATTTTATGGCATATTAGTGTAACAATGAGAATGTGTTTTCTTTATGAGCAAATCCAAATTATTGTTTCCTACCTTATTGTTGTTGCAGGAGAAGCAAATCGTACACCAAACAAATAAAGGTGTGAAATCTGACTTGACTTAACTATCCCGAGTACATTTGAGGCTCTAAAGTGTGACTTCAGTGAAGATTACTTTCAATTTTCCCTTGTCTAACCTTCTATTATTTTCTTGGAAAAATAACACTTTTGGTCCTTTAGTTATAATCATGGTGTAGATTTAGTATTTTTTATTATTCGCAGTGTATATTTTGTCCTTTAGTTGTTATCAAAGTGGTGAATTTGGTCTCTCTGCGACCAAATTCACCACTTTGATAACAATTGAGGGAGGGACCAAATCTACCATGCAAATAACTAGACTAAATCTGTGCCACGGTCACATTGAGGGACTAAAAGTACTATTTCCCCTATTTCTTTAATCTTTACTGTTTATACATTTCTGTCCAATGCTCTAGCTTTCTTTGGTTTTCTTCTGCTCAGTTAGAAGTACAGCACAACTTGTTCTGACCTCAACTTGGCTTTGTTCAAATTGCAGGATCAGGGTTTGGTAAGAAATAGGCAAGATAATCACTGGGATAAGGTTAGCTTAATCCGCGACAAGTTTGAGTATGACAGAGAAAGAAGGATGAGAGAAAGAGGTTCGTACATGTACTTTCGACTAATTTACTGTTGTTTTTGCTTCGTTTAATTTTCTTTCCTTTTCTTTTTCCGTTTGGTCTTGTGCTCTCTTTTTACATTAAAAAGTTCAGTCCTTTTTGCAGTAGATAGTGGTGGTTATTTAACTTGGCAATTGTTAATTGGCACTATGAGCTACTAGATACAGAGTTTCGGACTTTGTTATCCAATTAATTTTCCTTGCTGATTAAGGATTTATGTTCGATACTTGCAGCGTTTGCTCCAATGAATGAAGCAAACGATGTTCGCATGGATCATCCAGCTTCCAGGAACGAGCCTTTTGACCCCAGGAGATACATCTCTGACAGCGAGAGCGACTAACTGAGGATCATTGGTATTTCAGGTGAGAAACCTGAGTAGTTTTAAACCGGGGATGAAAGAATCCCAGTTTCGACAGATAAGAGGACAAGCATATTAGGAGATACTTGCACAGGTGCACTTTCTCATTACTTTCGAATCAGAGACCTCCAGACTTTTACTCCCTCATCGTCGATGAAAGTGGGATGGAGGACGTAGTATTGTTAGTTTTCGTGTTATGTCACGATGCTCTGTTGATTTTTCTTTGACATCAAGACGGTGGCTTTCGAGCATGGTTTTGCTGCTTCATCAGTGATACTATCCATCAAAAATGAACTCCCCAGTCCCCATTGTGTTTGTGATGTCTTGACGTCTTGTAAGAAGAAGACTAGAGATTCTGAAACTTGGGAATGGCTTTTTGTGAATTTTGTACCAGAAGCCTATGGTGAAATAGGTTGTTTATTCATCCAAACAAATTTATATATTGTTGAACAGCAACTCTCTATAATTTTGGAACTCATTCTACTCGAGTAGTCCATCCTCGCTCTGGGTGAAGCCTGTCTTATGACTCGAGTAGGTAAACGAGGCTATGGTTTTCATAGCTGACTTGTTCAGATCAAGAAGGTCAATAGACAGCTCTTACAAGAAGTTAAACTTAAAACCGTGTAATTATCAAGCAGACTGTCCAACCAATTTGGTCGGAACAGTCTTCCACTGTTGTTACTAAACTAGGTTGTCAAATGATTCAGTACCCCCACCCCCCCAGCCCGACCCCAACCCCCCACCCCCACCCTTCTGATATGGTTAATACAGCACAAGAACAGCAAATGGTCATTTCTAACACCTGACACTATTTCATATCATTCTTTTAAAAGGGGGAATGAAAACAGCATTTTGTTATCATCTTGCAGGAATCCCCGGAAATTAAACTCAAAACGAGCGAATTCAAGGCGAATCTGGATTAGCTAGTGTTGTGATGCTTTCTTCTGGGTAAGAGTCAAACTTAGCCAGGATTAGCTAGTGTTGTGATGCTTTCTTCCGAGTAAGAGTCAAACTTAGCCAGCATGACGACGCGACGTGAACAGAATCCAAATTAGTATTATGTGCTGGATGCATGCATAAGAGAATAATAATCTATCCGTTGTATGAATGACAAAAACAAAGATACAAAAGAGAGAAGAATGAATTGGGAGTAGACATATATACTCTACTGATGAATCTTTTGGGACAGTGACAACTCCCATTTTGCAGCAATTAAAGTTTCCAAAAAAGACAAAACCTAAAGTATATTCCTCTTCACTTGATGAAACAATACATTCACTATCACTTCAAACCAAGTTCACTTTATCAACCCTAGACTATATGTGCATGTAAATACAACCAGACATGTACATACATTTAGATGCATAGCTTTGTGTTGTGGGGGGAGGGGAGTGGAGTGGATTAACTTTAAATAGCAAAGATTCGAATCTTGATTATATATACCAAAGTATCAAACCAAATAACATACACGATTTTTAAGCATTGAACTCCAGTCCTAAGGGACCTTACTTACCTTGCCCTAGAGGTCAGCTTGACGGAAAAGGTAAATCACATATGTGTTTCAACAGTTTACAGGACCTTTGATAGGAATTTCACCTTAGGGATCATTTATACAAAGTTTTACAAAATAATATATTGTGCTTTGTAGAGTTTAGGGTTTAGGGTACAAGGTTTAAAATATGTCAGACTCTATCATGAACCTCAAGACTCTGCTCCTAGAGCTGTTGGAGGAGGTAAACTGCTAGTAGTCTAGACGACTATCCGATCCCCCAACTCTCAAAGAATCTACACTCTACACATAAAGAGCCTTAACCACACATACTGGTACCCATCACAAGCTCCAACAGAATTCGAACTCCGATCTTGCCACATCACTTGAGTGAGACTAATGAAACTCGTCGCAACTATCTGAGCTAGCCTAGGGGCCAAGGTTTAGAATCTTGCATGTTGTCACCATGAATTTTTTTACTACACTTTATAGTACTATAATAAACAAAAATTGGGATCCTCTGATCTGTAGAGAGGTACAAAAGAAATGAAAATCCCTGTGCACAATAGCACCATATACAACTTTGTCATGCCACATCAAGCTGAAATGGCATCTCAAAAAATATAAAAAGAAAATGCAGTTTGTACTGTTAAAGGCTAGATGTTGCTGTGATGCCACATCAAGTTGAAAAGCCACACAATCTTTTTACCAAATTTACCTCTACCATTTCTTGTATGTGCACCATGTTTTCTCTGCCACAGATTCAAACACTACTCAAAATCTTGCCACTTCTGATCATCCTAAAGCGGTGGCCGGTTCCACCTCACTCAAACGCTACAGAAAAATCTCGCAATTTCGGGTCATTCTAAAGTGGTTGGTTCCACTTCATTTAAGAAAATTTCACGATTTCGGATCAGTTTAAAGTAATCGGTTCCACCTCACTCAAACGCTAGAGAAAACTCTTGCAATTTCTGGTCATTCTAAAGTGGTTGGTTCCACTTTGTTTAAGAAAATCTCACAATTTCGGATCAATTTAAAGTAATCGGTTCCACCTCACTCAAACGTTAGTATAAATCTCTCAATTTTTTTTTTATCACCCTAAAGTGGTCTGCTCCACACCTTTCGTCTTCTTCCACTTTTGTTTACATAAAAGAAAGTAAATGGAAGAGATTCTCATCCACAAAAGAATGGACTTCCAGAGGGATGAGGGTGCATGAGTGGATGAATTTTACTGAGTCAAATGGAGATAGATACACAAGAAGGGTAAATGAGAGAGACATGTTATTCACTAGAAATGATAGAGAGAAGTGATACCATTTCTGAAAACATTGTTGTCAGTAGGTGCAATATGAATATATGGTGGAATCAGTCCAAATACAATGGAGAGTAAAACTAATAAAGCACACACCACAATGTACCTCTTAAAATGCATATAATACACCAAATAAAGCATAGGGTACAACTTTACAAAACACACAGCGTTGTAACTCATAAAATAGAGAATGCACCTAACAAAGCACATGATACAACTTTGCAAAAGAGCCAAGACATAATACCTTGTAAAATTTTCCATGTATCAATATTGATTGACTTATTTACTTTACTGACAAGTTCATAGTCGGATTAGCCGCTACGCAAAGTTGCATTCTGATTATAGAGCGTCTTGTGATACACTGATACCTTGTAAAATTTTTGATGTGTTCAATATTGACCCACTTTAATCTTTGATTTACTAAAAAGCCTATTATATTTGCCGCTATTTGAAAGTGCAGGTGAAGAGCTCCTAGTGACCCTAACCAGCAATGCACCAAAAATAAGTAAATCAGCATAGGTTGTTTATAACTTCGATTAACAGCCAAACACCTTATGCTCAGATGACATGTAATGACTCTCCCATATGGGAGGTCATGAGATCGAGCATCAATAGAGACGGTGTTAACTCTTTGTGCTTCAACAAATTAAGAAAGTATATAGATGAACAGATACATACTGCAATGTAATAGAGTCCCGCATACTACAATGTAGTTGCCATATATAACTTACTCGCTACCAAGAAAGTCAATATACAGCTCTCATGGAAAATTGGTTAAACCAACCGCTCCAATAGTTACAACACACATACACTACACATGACATGCCTTGTACTTGTTGAGAATTGGCTGGTCCAGAGTCCAAACATTAATAACGCTCTATAAATAGCGGCAAACAATTTGAACCCTCCCACGGACCACACATGACTCTATTCACGCTTCTGTCAAAACAAAAACAACAACAACAAACGTACAAACCAAACAGCACGAGAGAGAGAGAGAATAAAAGAATGGCAGCAATTCACAGAAACAGTGCGCCATACATTAATCAATACAACCACCTTTTCTTGCACACAAAACAGTATAGCCAAAAACAAAAAAAAAAAACCAAAAGAAAAAGGCTTTACATACAGTCTCAGCTTCCAATGCTCCTGTCCAAATTAAAGCTGCAGAGACATATATAGCTCTAAGCTAACCCTAATATATATAGCTACTGAGACAATAACACTGTTTTTGTTTATTATTATTATATATGTTCTTGATTGCCATGATAATTATGATATGATAATGATGAAACAACTAACAACATTATCCTCTTGGATGGGCTGCTGCCATAATGCCTGCCCCAACGTAACATTCTCTGATCCGTTTGGAGTAATTAATGTTATCCTTCCTTAGCTTCTTCCTTAAACTACTTGGATGGCTTGCTAGCTAGCATGCATGCATGCATGGTTTACGATGACTTTTTGCAGAATTGAAGAAGCTCCCATGGCAGGGCTTCCTCACGCGCACACTGGCCTTAGGCAGCTTGGTAGAAACCCCCATGCCCTCTTCTGAAACAAAAAGGGTTTATTTATGTTAATATTGTTTATACAATAATAATGTCAATCAGCTTGCAAATACAATATCATATAATCACGCATTCTTTTAGAAGAGTTATTTTAGGTTTGGTCCCGGGACTATTGAGACCATTTCCACATTTTGTTCTCAATTATTAATTTCTATCTCTATACTCCATCCCAATACTATTAAACTTTTGTCACATTTGATCCCACTGATTGAATTTTTAATTACCGTTGACTTATTTTGAAGGGCAAAATCTTCATTTTCTACTACTTTTTCCTAAAATTTATCATAGAGGGTAAACAAAAATGACAATTTTGTCCTTCAAAATAAGTCACTGCACTAAAATTTGGTCACGGATGAACGAAATTAAGTCAAAAAAATCAAATGTAACAAGAATTTAAGAATCATGAAACTAAATACAAAAAAATAATACATTCTTGAGACCCAAAAAAACTCCTTTTAGAATTATAATAGATATTGTTAACCCTTAACCTACAATACTCAATATAACTCTATTAACTTATCAGTTAATTTTAACTTATTTAATCACAATTAGCTGTTTGATTAATTAATTTTTTGTACCAACTTATTACTTCAAAACGTTTAAATCAATGGCTATCGACTATCTGCTAAGAGCTATATACCAAACACCCTATGTTGATAGATTATATTTATGACCAATGGAATACATGTGTGGGTTGCAGGGGCTGGCAGAGGATATTCAAAATATAAGGGATAAGAAAAGGAGGGGACAACGTTGGACCACATACTAAAGTAAACTAACGTCGCCTTTAACCTGCGAAAGGGAATTGGCCGAAAAGGCCAGGCCACACGAGAGTGGGCACCGCATTAACTAGCCGGCCGGTCGCCGTGAAATCAAGAAAAAAAGATGTGTGTAGGAGATGGGCATACCCGTTTGGTCCTTGCGTAGAGGAGATCCGGCGAAATCTTGTACAGATCTTCGTCCACCGCCTTGGGCTCTCTCCTGGCCGGAGGCGGCGACGGCGGCACCGGGCTCGGCGGCTCTTTCACATCGCCACCGTATTCGCAGTCGCATCCACCCATCACCCAACCGTCCTTTCTTCCCTCCCCTTTTCCGCCATGCTCATATCCGCTTCCTTTTCCCTGTCCATTTTTAGATATACCCAAAAAATGTCATCATTCTTGTCACTATTTTCACTTTGTACCACGTAAAATATGACACAATATTTGATTGATTTTGCCCAAAGTTTAACAAAAGCCAAGATTTTGATACTAATCAAATTACTTAAAAAGCACCAAAAGTCAATATCAGCCCCACTGATTTCTATCATCGGTAATTAATTTTCTTATTGATCTGAAGATTTAAGACTGCTCCATGTCCAAAGTCAAGAATCGATTCGTTATAAGGCAAAATTTACTAGATCGACATATTATAAGACAAAATTTACTGATATACCCTCGAATAGTGACTACAGATTTTTTACGACAATCAAAAAGGTACAATTAAGACTAAGTACCTAACACGTGACATGGTACAATCTAGGCCTACTGCAGTTTCAATGTACAAAAATTTTCAGACTTATAACAACGGCATATTCTTAAATCTCACAAGCCAACACCCCATCACATCACTCCGCAAATTAATAATTTCTTGTTTTATTCCTTAATTAACCCAAAAATAACACCTAACCATCATCATTAAAAGACACGTTAATTAATTGCAGGCGGCTTACCCGGCGGCGAGGCACGACAATCATGGCCGGAGTGACGACGTCGTTCTCGTACAGGTCGCCGGCGACGTACAAATCCCGGTCCTCGGAGTAGCTGTACCGGAGCAGCCCGGCCTGTCTCGCCGATTCGAAGCACTGGGTGAACGGGATCGGAAACCCGTCGTCGCAGTCCCAGCTCCCGAACGCCGGCACCTGGCTCCTCCTCATAAAATACTCGCAATCCTGCATTTTTGTTTTTTGTTAGTGAAACCCAGAAACAGAAACAGAAACAGAAAAAAACGAGAAAGAAACATGAATATTTGCAAAACTTACATATTCATCCATGGCCGGTGGAATCTAGAGAAAGCAGAGAATGAATGATTCTTGGAGATTTGGTTTCTTCTTTTTCGCTAGGCTTTTAGAGGTGTGGAAGGGGGAGAAGGAATGGGGGGTTTTAAAGAAGGGAGAGAGAGAAGAGCTTTAATGGAGAGAGAGAGAGAGAAGGGGAGGCGTGGGGATCCAAAGAGATGTAAGTTATCTGCTACAGAAGAAAAAAGGTGAAGTGCTAGTAGGAAAGAAGAAGGCAAAGGCAAAGCCAAAAGCTCATATTTCTATATCCTAAGGTTAAAAATAATTTTATTTGTGGCTCGAGTCAAATCTAGATTAGTCTCTCTCAAAAGGTTGAATACCCAACTTCAAGAGTCCCTACACTCTAGTCCGACGAAATAAGGTTTATGGTGACTCTATGATTCAGCAAACAGATCAAATGAATGCTGTTGAGGTTCAAATTTTAGTCTTTTCTACCCAATACAGCCTACTGAACTAGTCAGCTAAACTCGTGTGGACCAAATCGAGTTATTACAGAAGAAAATTGTATTTTTCAGGACAACGGCAATTAAGTTGGTTAAATAATTGATTTAACATTCTAGTGTGCACTGACAATTTGACATTTGATCGTGTTTACTAAATAACTGAATTATTGTAATTTACATACTCTCACATGTTTTGTCAAATCTGACTTATTCTGTAACTTGTCTATTGACTTTCTTGATTTTTGATTTAGGATATAAGATAAAAATAAAAGAAAAAATGAAAATGAAGAAGGTGACAAGAGACAGAGGGGTAAGGTCAGAGAGAGAAGACAAGGTTGAAAATTTGGGAATGTGAGACTTTAGAGGTTGGCTTTACTTTTGCTTTAATTATTATATCAACGAACTCCACCATTACCCAAATCTCATTACATACATTTTCTTTTCTTCCAACGTAAATTACCGAAATACCCCTCGTCTATTTAGTCGAATGATAATTTTAGTAAATTATTCTATTTTCATATTACTATGCATTGAAAATATTGAAATTCACTCGGGAATTCATTGACAATCATATTGCGAATTAATTGAATTAAGACCATATATACTTGACCATATATACTTTAAGAAAAACTTTGAATGCATTTACTTTTATTCATATATTTGTATATCTAGGCTAAAATAGTTTGACAAATAGCGGTGATCGAAAGTCAATACACCGACATCATAATTCTGAAGTAACGAAAACAATTTCATATTTCAAAATTAATTGTATCAAGATAGATGTCATTTTCATTAAAACATAATCGTTATTGAGTATCTCTTAAAGTCTAGATATACAAATATATGAATAAAAGTAAACAATTTCATATTTTATTCGTCTGGCACTATTGAGTATCTCTTAAAGTCTTTAAAAAATTATCATTATATTAATGACTTGTAGAGTCCTTTTTTAAATACTACATCAATAGTTGCATCCCACTAAATGAGGTTAATTAATCAAGTTTTAGTCGTCTCAAGATATATGCAATTTGTACTCGTCTCACACTACATAATATTTCTTAATGTCTTAGAAAATTTGTCATTAACCGGTTCTACGTAAAGTTTTTTTTTTTCTTTGCATGCTCCATTGCCCGATGAGATTAATCCATTCAAGTCATGTTCAAATACAGCTCAATCTCCCAATTCAATAACGTTACTACAACACGTATGCATGAGTTCAAACTCCTAACAAATTATAAACTCGAACTAATAAAATGTACATGAATGATATTAAGGGGGTGTTTGGTAAATATTTGTTAGCTGATAGCCATTAGCGGGTTTGACTAGTTGATAGTTAATAGCGTCAGCTGATTGTAGAAAAATGTTTGGTAAATTAGTTGTTAGCTAATAGCTGATTACATACAATTCAAATTGACTTTCTCAAAATTTTGATCGAGCAAGCTACTTTGAGCAGTTTTTTTTTTCAGTATTTTGAACAATAAGCTGTGACAAAAAGTTAATTAATCAAACACTGACAAGACGTTTGGTTGGAGAGGGGGAATTACGTGGGAAAGGAATTGCAATTCCATGGGAGATGAATTAGTGGGAATAAAGTGAGAATTTAAATTCCAGTGTTTGGTTCACAGGAATAGAATTATTGTGAATTTCAATTACAATGTTTGGTATACATGGGAATTGAAAGGGAATAAATAGTATAAAGTCAAAAATGTTCATTGTTGTTGTTAGACATTAATTTTAAGTTAAAAATGGAGGGATAATTTTGACTCATCAGTCATTACTATTTTTTTTTTCTTCCTAAAATCCCAGGAATTAAAAACACACGGAGGACATGGGATTTTAATTCCATGAAAATGAGGGAATTGCAATTCCTTTCAACCAAACAAGAGAATTTTATGACCTTTGAAATTAGATGGGAAGGGAATTTAAATTCCTTTCAACCAAACACCATGTCATATTAGCTTTTTAACCAAGTCAAATAGCTAATAATGGTCAAATAAATCAAAACTAACTGACAGACTATTTTACCAAACAGAACATAGCGAAACATCAAAACCACAACTTAAACAACACACTATCTAGTCAATTAAGCTACTTGAGTGCCATATAATTTGAATATACTATACATGACAAAAATGTCAAGAATTCAAGAAGATTATATTGCAAGTATATGAAGCAAGCAAGCTAGCTAGGTTGCAACAAGTTGTCAAAGATGTTGAAAATGAATATTCAGAGAATGAGGAAAGGTGATAATGCCACCTTTTCAACTGTAGTTTAGGTTAGTGTTGACAGGAGAGGGGTGGGGGTAGTGTACATTCCAAGTATAAAGTGCTAACCACTACTGCTACTTGTAGATCTGAGAAGAGCTGAAGAACAGTTGAGGAGAAGAAAGGAGATATTAAAGAAAAAAGTATTGTCAACAAAATTCTGGTGATTCTGAGAGAGAATGCTCCCAAAAGCTTCAGTCTTGAAAATGACTTTCTAACCCCACACGCCTCACTACACATTTGCTTTGTGCTCTGTGCACCTTAAAGCATTCTCATCTTTTTCAATATAATATATAATAATAAACTAATAGGCTTTCCTGCCCTGTGATTAATGCATTTAATTAATACAAAAATGTCTCTTTAAGTTTTTTTTTTTTTCAAAGATAAGTTTTGCATGTATTCAAAGAATGGACCGAGTAGGTAAACATAATTTTTGTAGTTAATAATTATGTTTGGTTATTGTTAATACTTTAATTTCTTGGTCAAGCTCATTATATGGAGTCTTTTCAGGTGAGATTTACTTCAAGAGCAGTGTTTACCTAAAAACTAATCTTAAATCTTTGATAGTAACTGCGAGTTTTTCTTGTTACACATTAAAAAAAGGATAAGTTTTGGCCTAGGAAATTGTCTAATGGACGATAAATTTCACTTGAAACTTGCTTTTTGTGACAGAGTGAAAATTCGATTCATGTCATGAACATGGGGAGATTTAGATTTATGTTGAGTTCCTTGTACGTAAAAGTATACTCTTTGATAATGAATCTCAAAACTAAATTGGCTCATATTACCTCCTCATAGTTTGAGGGCAATCATGTGATCTAAAGAAGCCATAAAATTTGGGTTATAAATTAAAATAGAAGCAAAAAAATTTTAAAAAATAAAAATAAAAAATTGTGTGTAGTCTAGTCAATGACATGAGCTCAATGGGTCAATAGAGAAACCTGGAAATGGCAGGTTTCAGCTTTGAACAGTGAATATTACTGAACTGTTATCTATCTGCAAACAAATTTCTGGGCCTGCAGGAATTTGGGAGGATGGATGGATTGCTTCACTGGTAAATCAATTCTTTTTTAACTCACAATTTGGAAATGAAATTTTTTTCAATTCATATAAGAGTTAACAGTACTTGGAGACTTGGAGTTGATTGGTTTAATACCAATCCCTTACAATTATTAGTTACCAATAATTTCTACCGTTTTAAAGACAATGGTATTGTAGAGACATTCATTGAGAGGCAAATTCATACGTAAATTAAATGATAATTTATCCCGACTTTTCTCATCTTGATTTACAATAAGTTGTAAAATCACAGAAAAAGTTTAACCTTCCATCCACACTGCCGCTAGAGAGACTCAATCTTTGGTCATTCTTCTAAAATTTCACCTCTATGACCAATTGAGCTACCCATGCAGATTATTATTATTATTATTATTATTATTATTATTATTATGAAGAAGATTTGCAACAATATTGCTACTTCATTATGGAATGTTAGATCATTATTATGCTAATAATTTATTTCAAAATGTTTTTTTTTTTGAAGACAAAATGTTAAAGTTTAATATGTAAACAAACTAATTTAAATTTTATGAAAATATCCTTTTTTATCTTTTTACATTTATTAGTTTATCAAAAAGCTAATTTTACCCAACACTTTCAAGCATAACAGCTAGCTTAACACCTCTTCAATTTCAGCTCCTAGCTTATAGCTTTTCACCTTTAAGCTCCTTTTAAGCTTTTAGCTACCTTTTCAGGTAGGTTTGCCAAACATACCTAAGAAGCTGATTTTTTGTATCTATAGTAAGACCCACCAAGAATTAAAAAAAAAAAAAAAAAAAAGCTGCATCGCGTGAGGTGCGTAAATCTTTACTTTTTTTTTTCTTTTTAAATTTGTTTTTCTTTTTCCTTTCCCTATTTTCCTCTCATATTCTCTTTCCTAGACATATTTGTAAAAATTACTCAAAATCTACAATTATTGGAGATGTTCTTATGGATACTATGCGTATTGTATGCCTAGACTAGTGTATGTAGTTGGTAGGATTGTTTATGTTTTGCTCTATCTCATTTGTTAATTTTATTATTTTTAATCTAACCTAATAAAGTGAAATGTATCTTTAATAACATGATAATAAAATTTGCTAATTATTGCTTCATATTCTTTTAAAGTTTGCATATTTTAAACATCATCATACTTCACGTAACAAGTTTTAGATAATGTTTATTAAATTAAAAATGATCACTTGTATTTTAATTAATCAAAATATACATATATTAACCAAAATTGTAAAAATCGCTAGGCATTTCTCGGGTGCCTAGGCGCTCGTTATTTATTTGTTTATTTAAATTCTTTAATTTTTTTTTTACAAATTTTGTAAGACTTGATAATTATAAATTATTTAATACTTTAATAGTTACTATTAAAATATTAAATATTAACCTAAAAAAATCTAGAATTTTAAATTGTATAAATATTTAAAGAATCAAAATACAATTCTACAAAGTCAACTCATAAAGTATCAATA